TTGTGTTTGCTTCCTCAAAATAAATAATTAAACCAACATTTTTCCACTTGGAAAAAATCAAKAAAAACAAGATCAAGAAAAATATTGATTTAAAAGTGGTCTGGGCTGTAAAAACATATCCTTCCTGCTGTGTGTTGCCCTTTCTCAAAGTGCATCTGTGCTTGCTTTCTTCTCCCCAAAGATGAGCGAGTGAGTGGAAAGYAGATTTAAATTTCTTTACTACTGGCTGTAGGTGGGGAAAAGCTGAAATATTGAAATGCTGTTAAAATTCCCCAAATCTCTGAGAGTTTACACAGTATTTTCTTGAGTATAGAAAAATAAAATTCAGCAAGCGCATGCCTAAAGCTGTTTCCCTTCTAGCAGATCCAAGTCTAGAGCACCCCAATATTGGAGGCAAGGTCTTCTCGTAGTCAAATCTTCCTGTATGGTATGTATGTAGGACTGGCAAGTGGTGCAGGCTTTGGTGCTGGTAAAGGTATCATGTGGACATGAAGTCCTGGGACCACGATGGGGCAGTCTCTCTGTGCTGTGTCCTCAGGGATGTAGATGTACCTTGGTGGACACGGTTGCCCAGCACTGTCAGGCTGATGTCCCACCTGGACGATGGGGCCTTGTGGAGCTTCACATGCAAAAACTGGCCTGGAGGAGCAGTGAGGAAATGATGGTCTTTAATTTGGTTGTTTTTCTGGTCAGTGCGTGTAGCTAGTACCATGCCCAGCTCCCTGTCCTGCTAGTGGAAGTCTCCATGCTCTAGTCATGCAGATGCAGAAAAGGGATTTGCCTGGCCTGCAACTGCGCGCTCAGTGGGAAGTCGKTGTTGCATTTAGCATATGGAGAGCTACCAAATAGTTGTGGGTGCCACCCTGTGAGAGAGATGCTTATTTTGTATTTCTGACACTTATTTTGTTCTTGGCACAAACTCTTCTTACGCTTCTGAGAAGTCTTGTGCCACCTCTTCTGAATCCGGGAGCGCTGAAAGCCCCGAGGAGCCTGGTCTGTCAGCAGAGATGATGCAGTGAGATGGGCATACCACGAGGCTGGCACAGCCTGCGCTGGACGAGGGAAAGTCAAGACTTTATCAATATATTCAAGGAGTAGAAAATAAAGGGTTATTCCATTAAGGATTTCTTCTCGTCACCCAAATTGTGCCCATATTCTTGATAGYGTGCATTCTGCACACTGCAGGTATATAACCGAATGTATAGCAGAGTAAGTCATGCAAGTGGTGCTAATTAGCTTCTACTTAAAGCATAGTTTATGATCAGTTAGCTTGAATGAAAGCTGGTTTTGTTATCTGATTTTTATTTTTTTTCTTAAAGGACTCTGGAAGATACAAGTTAAGGGAGTTGTGAACCTTTTTAGAGCAGCTGTAAATTACAGAGGAATTCTGCGTTGCTCCTTCAGATTTGCCATACGATTCTGTATATCTGAAACTGTTTCTTGCACTATCATTTTATAGAATTCAAAAAATTACAGTTTTCCTGTGACAAAATRTGTTAACAGAAGCTAGCCCTTTTTCTTTTTTTGGTAATTCTTAACGTCTTTGTTAAATACGTCTTCTGAAGTAAACTTGTGGTAAGAAGCACCTGTGAGGGAAGGAGTGTATTTTGGATGGCAGTGCTGGCAACTGGTAATTTTTGATGATTCCCTTTCTTCATAACTTTTGCAAAGGGGATATAGAATTCAGTGTCCTAAACAGTTCAATATCTTTTTTTTTTTTTCTTTAGGTTTTCTAAATTAGTTTTTCTTATATATGATAGCCCTCTTCTTGTATGAAATCATGATGTTCTATTTATTTTTTATTTGCATATGTCCTGTTGCAGAGATATTGATAACAGGTCTGTTAATTCATAAATCTCTATGTAATGTGAACAGTAGTAAAGAGTTGTGTGACTCTCATGAAAAAATGCTATAAATATGTTTCTACCTTGCAGCTAAGTATTAAAAGCAAAATGGAAACATACTTTTGGATTTTTTTTTGTATGAATGTGAGCTATAGCAGGAGTGTGAAGTTGAGTGGTGCCGAAGAGTGAGCAGTGATAAATAGCGATCGGAGAAAGATGTTTTTGAAGAKGAAGTTTGAGAGGGAATAAATGAAGCAAATGCCTAGTGGCATTTTAGTTGTGGCCTCAGATTCCTGGGTGGTTGTGGACCTATTGCTGTAGGAAATGAATGATGGTGAAAGTGAAAAGATTATCAAGCGAGGAAGTTGATAGCATTTGAAAAGGTGAAAGGAGGAGGAGGGGGAAGCCATAAGAATTAAGGCTGAAAAAATAGAAAGGAGGATGGGCAATAAAACTGGTGAGTCATAGAAGTACATGTCCCTCAAGAAAAATTTGGAAATGGGGAAGTCAGAGCACCATGATGGTGGCAGTTTCCCAGGGCCGTTACCAGCAGGTAAATGAGAGAGGAGGGGTGGTGTTGGCGAAGGAGGTAGGAGGGCAAGAGCGGAGGCAGCTGCTTGTGCTCACCACGAGAGGGACCAGGAGGCCAGATGCGGAATGAGCAGGAGCTCCGGAGCGCAGCGATGGAGRTGATGTGGGAGTCTCCATGAGGAGAAAGTGATGGAGAAGCACCGAGAAGGGTCACCAGGGCTGCTGAAGACATCAACTATTAACTGCTTTCTAAAATAGCTCTCCGTATTTTGGGTTGTGAGTGATACTCATTTCTGTGACGGCTCTGAAACGCGTTTTATACATGTGAAGAACGAGTCRCGTCAAAGACACTGAAGTCCGTCAGCTCCTAAGCGTTGCTGCAGGCRCTTGTCAGAGAGGGAAATGCGGAAGGCAAGATGCAAAATTTGTGGTTCTGAAGATTTTGCTGAATTTAGGAAGTCAAGCTATCCCGCATGTAAATGCACCTGGTAGATAGTGTGGCAGATGTACTACCAAACAACAACTCTCTCTGTAAATTCAGATATGGAAAACTGTGCAAAGCATTTTCATCTAACTTAAAAGCCATTCTTAAACAGTTCTGTTCTGACCAGTGAGAATATTTTAACTGAAATCAAGCTCTAAATTTCTAATTTTTTTAAAACCTGGTACAATTCGTAGTGGAAATGCCGAAGAAATTGCAGTGGAAAAAGTACAAAAGGAGTAAATCAGTACAAAGTTTAGATTAGATCCTTCTATCCTTACTGATACTTCTAAAACTTTAAAAATAAAAGACTAAGTCTTTATTAAAGAAGTAATAGTGACTTTAACTTTACTCTTTATTTCTTGAAATAAAAAGGAAGGAGGATAACAAATAGCTTAAAAAGAAGATGAAAAGGATGTATAAAATCAGTAATGCTAATCATGATTTAAGATGTACTCATGTAATCATTTTTACTCCAGTTTTTAATTTTTACTCTCTTTGTGGATGTACACTGCTATCTTCAAAGTATTATTGTTTAAAAGAGGTAAGAAAAATATAACCAATTTCAAACATGAAATAAAAATGTAACAATACAGTTTGTAGCTTCAGGGTATATTACTGATCTTATTCATCATATTTATCCAAAATACCTTTGCATAAGGTACATAATGGCTCAGCAACAAATGGTTCAGAAGCATAGCATAAATATTTTTAATAAATATTTTAAATAATATTTATGCCACCTTTTATTCATCTATTTATATGTAATAGTTAATTTATATTTAATAATCTCACCAATAATTGTTAATAGTGTTTATTAAAACAAATGTAATGTTTCACTATTAATATAAAAAGTGCTGCATGTCACCTGGAAGCAAGAAGATCGCTTGAGCTCTTACGTGTTAGTCTTGTTCTCTAACAGCTTCTAAAAGGCTCTTTAGCCAGTAAATTTCCCTAAATGTCATGCTTGGAAGCAACGCATAGATTTACATGCAGGGTGAAATGGAAGCTGTTCCTTCAGGCATAATTTTACTCAGAAACGTTCTAACATCATTAATAATGTATAAATGTAACAGGTTTACATTAAATCAGGCTGTAGACTAGGTCACTTCTAATCTGTACAATAATTCCTACATGGCAATAAATATTAAGCTGTTTAAAAAGGGGGGAGGGAGGGAATGAATATACATGAAAATAGCATTTTTTGAAGCCAGAAAACCTTCAAATTTACTGATTTAATTTACAGGTTCAAATTTATGGATTACTGACATGACACAGTTCAGTTCAGGTTGCTTATTATGGCGTGGTGTTTAAATTTGGCTGCCTTCTCTTCACTAATGCTCACCCTATTGCTATAAAAAAGTAAGAGTAGTGGATATGAGATACCAGAAGACTGTGGGAAAAAAATTATATTTTATCCAAACCCATTTTAGGTAGTAGTGGTCCCCTAGGATTGCAGCTGTAAAGGTCTCCTCCTGCCTATCGTTGGGTAACTTTTGCTTTGTGTGAAGAGACTCTGTCAGCATCTCAGGGGTACAAAGAGACTCTTAGTGCGTACAAGGGACAGTTAGGATTTGGTGAGCTGCAGTACTAGTCATTAATGCGCTTGCTGTCCCCAGTAAGACATCCAAAGAGTCTTGGCTGCAACACATGTGTCAGTCAGGTGGAGGAGATCTGGAAGAGACCTTAGTTGCTGCTGAGTTGCTGTCTTCCATCTGCCTGTTTTTCTCCTTAAGGATTTTGTGGCTTTCTGTGTGAACTGTTTTTCCTCTTGAATCCTTCATCTGGTAACAATTTAAGTTTCAACACCGCTACCTCTGTTTGCAGAAAGTCCTTTCTCATYTTGCAGGGCCGTATTCTGTGTGTTTTCTTGAGGTCTTAGCAGTTTCCTCCGGAGTCTTAGGCAAGGTTGTGCAGCTGTATTGTTGGATCAGAGCTAGGCTTGAATCACAGAAAGATGAGAGCGGGAAGCCACAAAGCAGAAATACGTAGCCATAAGGTCAAATATCATCAGAGAGTGACTGCGGAATTTAAACAAAATTAATTATTCCTGAGATTATAAWTTCTGTTGTTCATGGTTTGGGAATCTTGTACAGCTTTATTATGCCTTCAAAATAATTTATGGTAGTTGGTTTTAGTGCTGAATATTTATTTTGTGGCAGTGGGGTTCTGTTCCAAGTATTTCAGCTGTTGATGTAGAGAGATGTAGTCTGAACAAGTAGCAAGCACCGTTCCTGCCTTAAATGCTAAGTTCACATCTCCTGCAAATCTTTCAAAGCTTTTCTAGAGTCACATCCTGAAATCGTCTTTTCTKCTGTTCTAGGGAATGGGCCCCATCATGATCGAAGCAGCATTTACGACCCAAACAACGTAGTAGATGGAGTTTACTGCCTCCCAATATCGCACTGGATTGAAGTCTCTGGACATACTGATGAGATGAAACATACAACTGACTTCTATTTTAATATTGCAGGACATCAAGCTATCCATTACTCCAGGTAAAAGTCCATGTGTTCAGACAGAAARTCTGTGTTGACATGATACCAACTGGTTTTAGCTCTGAAGTGAGAGTGGGAGCATGTACAAAACAGCCCTTTTAGAAAAGCTATAAAAAAAAAAAAAAAAGGAATGCCTCCTTGTAGTTAAATAGCATTTTTGGCTGCAAAAAATGAGAGATTCTGAGTTCAGTGATACTGTCAGTCTGTGAAAAGCTGTGTTAAACAGAATCACCTCCGAAAATGCCTAACAGTAGTTTATGGGTAAATTTTATGGGAGACTGTTATTTGCAAGCACTTGTCCGCATACACACATAAATATGCATAGATCTAATACATGTATTCTCATGCATTTGGGATTATTTTGTTGAGGAATATCTTTTGGGAAAACAAAAAAGATGTATGCCAGAAAATTAAGATGTGATGTTATTGCTTATGTGTAGTAGCAGCAACCTCTATTAGTAACAGCTGTTATAGGTGATTTGTTTCATAAATACAGTGCATGCAAACCCTTTAAAATGCTAAAACTTAATCTTAAAAAGTTTATACTTCCTTGGGGTTCGGTGGAATCCAGTTTGATTCCCAAAGACAGCTGCCTGTTGTGTCTAAAAAGACTCCCAATAACTTTATTTTCTGGTGTGATTATTGCTCACCTTTGACATACTGGGTTCAAGAAGTGCTGCTCGAGCCACTCCTGTTCTTTGAGGAAAAGGAGTACACTTGGCTTTCTACAAGCCATGTCGACTTCTACTGGTTGCATGGAAAGGAAGTATGAAGTGCCCCTTTGCTACCTCCTCAGTGAAGTGTTCTGGCCTGAATTACAGCCAGAGATGCTTAAAGGGAAGGTGATAAGCATCATTTGRTGCTCCACATAAAGCACAGATTGTGCTTACAGGCAGCGATCTCAGTGCTGGTCATTAACAATATGGGACTTGGGGACCATTTGTAGCTTTTTGCATGTCCCAGTTGTRGACGAGGCTGCATCACAGCTGGCAATGCTGATATGCCATATGTAGCTGACACTGGTTAACTATCCCAACAGAATACCCATTTCTTGAAGAAATCAAATTCTCTTTTTTTTTTTCCAGTGAGTTATAGCATTCCTGTGGGTGATTTTCTCTGGAATGGTGTTTCAGCTACGTCATCCTTACAGATTTCTCTTTCTGTTCTCTCTGAACAGCCAAACAATGTAGAAATAGGGTTTTCTTCTTCTCATCGGAATTGTACTACATGAGGGAAACATTTTTTTCTCTTGGTATCTTTCCAAATATGGCAAATTCATAAACACTGTTAGGCCATATGACTTTATACCTTGTCCTTGGCATCTGTATACTAGCTATTTAATGTGCCTGACAGACTGTACTGTTCGCTGTGCCTTAAGTATCCATTTTAAGTATCCAATCAGAGAAAAGATCTTGTTTACTCCAAAGCAGAATCATCAGTCCTAGACAATCTTCAGTTGAGAAAGGAAGTTTGGGGCAGGGGGGAACCTGTCAGAGAATATTTAAGTACAAAAGGATAACCTATCTTCACTTCTGAGGAAGCAGTGATCCATTTAATACTGTCTTATACTGTCTACATGAGTATATGTTTCCTAGATCAGGTAAAAAGCTGCAGATTCCTCTTAATATTAGAGTAAATTTTTTTTTTTCTGAATTATGTAATAATATACTAATTTTTTTTTCTTGAATGAGGACCTCCTCTTTTCCCTTCTTAYATATACGTACCTTTATCGCCAGGCAGCCTATCTTTACTGAGTAATTTTTATCTTAATTCTTTAAGATATATTAAGTGAACAGTTCTGTTGCATAATTGTTTTTAATACTCTGAAGATATGCAGACTTAAAAGACTTTTTGATTATTAACATTTGTGCAGATTCATCACTTGACTGGTTATAATAAAGCTGCCAAAGCCTGCTGGCTAGTTGTGTGGGGTTTTTTTTGTTGTTGTTGTTGTTGTTGGTTTTTTTGCTTTTTTTTTTTTTGGCAAAACAGCTGAAATAAGCTGATGAAAATGCCTTCATTTTGTATTGATGCAGAAGACTGCTGTGGAGAATGCCATTACTACAAAAAAAAAGAGATCAAAAAACAACCACTCCTTGTGTCTTTACAGTTAACAGTATGATCTAATCTATCACAATAATTACGAATTTCACTACCACTGTATTTCTTCATTAAGTATATTTGTAAATTTTAAATGAGTTTTAGCAGTATGAGAAAAATCTACTTCCTGTTGGTGCCAAAAATCATTCTCAATAGTGGTAAAGTTGACAGAAATGCTCTTGGAGGGATCAGATTTATGCTTTATTTAGCTCATCAGTGAATTTTTATTTAAATTTATATCTAAAGAGCTCCCTTTATGTTCATTCAGGCTGTATTTCAGGCTGTATTTTTAAAAGAAATATATTTGAATTCATTTTCTTATGTATGAAATGTAACACCCTCAGCTACAGAGTCACGGCTGTCATCTCCATATTGTTAGTATTCACTTGTTTTGTACATGACACACATTACTGAAATCTGATTCAGGAAAAAAGCAAYAGTCCCCTTCTCTTTCCTGTTAGATATTGTAGCAATAAGATGTCTTCAAATTGCAGGAGTCTTCATTTAGGGGACAGTCATTTTCCAAAGAAAATGTAAGTTAGTGCCTTCTTTTCCGGGCAGGAAGACTTCAGAAAATCTGTAAATTTGGGTCAGTTCAGCTCTGTTTCAGCTCTATCTGTGAAAGGTGGAATTTACTAATTCCTGGATGTTATAAGCCTTAGTTTTTACTTAAAAACTTAAGCAATTCTCAGAAAATAAAAAAGCGTTACATAAGTACAGAAGGGAGATGATAGCTGAAATTACAAAATCTTTACATAATATGTTTGAGACATTGACCCTTCATGACAGAATTAGGTACTGCAGGAAGGAATATTGCTGAGATGAAAGGACATTTGGTTAGAGGTTTCTATTTTAAGATCTAAATCCATATTTACCATCCCACTCAGATCTTAGAAATACTGAGTTGCCACAGCTTTTTGCCAGCTCATTTGAGAATGATGTATGACCATCACCTTTTCATTTTAGGACATATTTGAATGTCCTTTATCGTGTCTAAATTTAAATAATCCATGTTTCAGAATTACAGCTGTTGTAACTGTTGTTTCATTCATTATATGTACTTTTTGTGAATCTCCAAATTCTTATGAAAAGAATATTTTAATGCTTTGCAAAACAACATAGCTATGAGGTAATTAACTGTATTCTGTAAGAAATTTCCTCAGACTGACTGAAAAATGCCAGCCAGTCTGTAATTGAAGTATTTTTAATACCGGTGAACTTTTTTTTTTAAAGCATATTCAGTTTTCAGTGTAAAAGAATACTGCTGTGTGAGAGTAACTCATTGATATTGACAGGTTTTGAAAATGTGTTTTTTATAGTGCAATTTACTGTTTAAGCATCTCATGATTATAGAGTGTTTAGGATGTTCTAGTTACTAGATGTAATCCAAGAAAGGGCAATTTGGCAAATGTGTTGCTATCACCAGTTTTTAGGTCTCTGAGTTTTCCCATAGGATAGAACAAAAGATGAAAGAAAACAAACCCTTGTTGTTGGCAGTGCTAGGTAATTTGATTGTTGGAAATCAAACTTGATTTATGATGTAGTCTTTTTGAGTGCTTTGAAGCAGTTTCSCTACCCTCACTGGCAGTTTCTGCTGACAGGCAAGTCAGCATCCTTGTCCTCATGCCCTGGCTTGGTGCTCATTTTGTTCATGATGTTCGTGTTCAATCTGTGCTTCTCAAGCTGTGGGTTGGACTGTGTGGTCAATGGGCAGCTCTACACCTGTGTTAGGAAGTCCTGCAGCTCAACAGGAGCTGGTTTGCACAGCAGAACATCTATGGTATGAAATGGACTGTTTGTATTTCAGTGTGTTTTACCAACTCTAGGCTGTTCACAGGGACCAAAAGTTTGTTAGTGGCTGAGGTGGCATAGGGACATTCTCAGAATGTGTTTTAGTTGAGCTTTATCTGAAAGTAATGGGTTTTGTTCATTCTTAAACCGATCTGAAATGTGAAGCAAAGTGTCTCAGTGGAAATGATTAGGAGATTCACATCAAATTTGCACTTCTGCTGTGTACTAAAATGCTAATGTAGAAACAATGTAGAGGAGTGAGGAATAATCCAGGGCAATATCCAGCTGCCTATTGCTTACCTTTTGAGGCACTAAAGCTTGATGCACAATTCTGCTGGTGAACACTGAGTTGCCTTTTGTCTGTATTAATTCTCCTGTGAAGAAAACGGATGCTTACTTGATTGACATGCATTTTAATTGGGATGGAAAACAAGGGTATCRTTGCGTGTATTTTACCTGAGAATCACTGGGGAAGAGGAAATAATGTAATTTCTGCTGACTTAATTATGAAACAGCAGTGGCTGTTTGATTGCTGAAACAATGTTGGGCTTGAGTGATTTTCTTTTAAAGACATCTATGGTAGGACTTAATCTGCAATTAAGACCACTAAATGTGGATGTCTACATTTAGCAATTCAAGTAACTGGCAAGTAAGCGTCTACTTTAGAGTGAATAGGTTTCCACACTCCACTGACTCAATTAATGAGATCTCTTATTGATTTATAGTGATTGTTTAAAGATCCAGTGCTTTAGCTGCTTGAATGTTGATGTTTAGTGTCACTTGAATGTTCCAGGATCTGCTATCTGGTCTTCAGCTGCTGCATTACAGGAATTGATCTCTTACAGCTCGTATCTGATCTCAGACAGGTCATATCTGTGAACCACATACAGATGCTAAGGTACATCTCGAGTATCAGTAGTAAGTTGCACTTAATCAAGGCATAGAGTGTTGCTGTGCTTGAAGACACCCCTTTGCATACACTCAGAGCTAGGTGTCTCCTTGATTTTGTATCCCATTCCTAGCCTGTGTTAATGGAAATTTTCCATCTCAGTTTAAAAAGAAGTCAGACTTATCTTTCAATCATACAATGGGAGAAAAAAAAAAAGATT